AAAAAAAAAACTCTGCAAAATTTATGAGGGTGCTCAGAATGTCACATACTGTACATGCTAATAACATGATCTTACGTACCAACACACAAACCTGCACAAAATTTTTTGTAGCGTGTCCTCCAGTGTTGTATAAGTACTTGTAAATATGCATAGTGCTAGACTAATCACACCCACTATGACAAAAAAATTTAATTTGTGTATCTTCTTCGGTGTGGTGTATGTGAGCCGAATCATAACACACCACGTCTACAAAATAGTTGTGAAACTACATTTTTGCCACTAGGGTTCACTGCATGTATGCACCAATACATAGGTTATATTTTTTTTATACTAAAAAAATTTCTGCCCACTGTGATGCTAGTAGATAGCAGGTGACTCAACTGCCAAATTGGAAGCACACACATGATCGTAATGACTACAATGTGCAGCACAGATGACACTTTTCTGCCATTTTGTTTTTGGAATAATTTGGAACACCACCATATATATGTTAAACAAAGTGAGTAGAACGAGCAGGACAGGAAAGAAGAGAGCAAAGTATAATTGCAGTCTCCAATGGTATGTTAGACACATTCAGCAACATTAATTTAATGGCTACGGGCAGGAGTATACATAATTACAAGATACACACAGCTATATATATGATTGAAGCATTTAGTAGATCTCTGCACAACACTATCCTGCTCTGCAAACGATGATGAGCTGCGTCCAATTTCACCACAACAGAACACACCTGATAGTGGGACACCAGGGAAATTTTCCAAGAATGCTGAACCATCAATATTAGGCTGTCCAAGAAACGACTCCCCACGGCCATAACAAGTGAAGACAAGTCCTCCAAACACTATATTCTTATCACCATTCTTCTCATTCAAAGCTCTGAGGTTGTCAAATACAGCATTGCGTGACATTAAACCTATTTGGGGATCTGGAGAAAAGAATTGGAAAGTATCACCAGTTTTGAGTCCACTACCTCTTACATATAGGTAATGCTCATCGCCCCTAAGTAACATCAGAGAAAAGTACTCACATATCAGTATTTAGAATATTAATCCAATAACAACAAAATGTATTCAGTATATATTCTTGCACAGAACATGGATTATGATGAGCTAATATTGAAAGTAAGGAAACAAGTTGTAAGACTTCCTCCCAAATTCCCCTGTTCATTATAGAGATTGTACAAAACCTTAGTTGCATGATCCTTTAACACAAGGCATAGCTCCCACTTTCAAACCTCAACACTACGCTCAAAACAGGAACGTCCTCTAAAACCCTGCTCTAAACTACTAGACACTAGATCCAAACTAATCAGATTCCCGCTTAGATAGACTTTCTACACATTTATTAACATTCTTAGACTTGTTAACTTCATAATGAAATAAAGATATTGTGGCTTTCTGACACCTACAATATTTAGAATTCCACACTCCAGTCATTTGCATTTGCTCAAAACTACAGAATTATAAAGATAAAAAAAACCTAGGTCATTATTTTCCATTGTTTACAAGGATAAAATAAATACACTACATAGATGAGAGCTCCATTAATAAAATAGTAAACAGGGCTTCAAAATGTCCACTTCCTTGCATCCACTCCCACTCCCGCTACCTCATCTGTTTAATGGAAATAATAATCTTTTACACCTGTATTTTGTCAATTCTAGCATAAGAGATACAATTCTTTCTATGCTAAAAATCTTTGGGTGTGAATTTGTGATATTGGCTTAAGTGTTTTTTAGTGTACAGAGTGGTATATTTACTCATTGCTATAATGCTCAATTAACTGTCTTGCCAAGCCAAGAAAACACTATTCCTTAAACCACAAGCCCTCAAATTCCATGTCAGATTTTTTCAATAAAAAAGTTAACAAGCTAAAAAGAGTTATCGCATCACTATATCAGATTTGTCAAGGAGTTAGCGACCCCAAAAGAGAGTCGTCAAACCACCAAA